CTCAACGAAAGCGGGGTGCTGCTGCCAACGTTTTATGCGTGCTACTCCGTTGTGATTGCTCCTCCGTTGTAATGAACGAAATAGTAATATCTGAAAGCCCGCACGCATGATAGATGCGCCATGTCGATATCATGACTTAGGACTTAATGAACATGGGAGATATTTAAATCTGCACTGACTACTAAGCAGTTCATCTAGCTTCTCACATGTCGGATTATGCACTTCATGCGCCTAAGCATGTATCCATTTCTGTTAAAAATACAATAAAACAAGTCTATGTAACGCCCGACGACATAATACGACAAGCCGAGTGAAGAGTTGAAACTCCCGCCACTGACTAATTTATTTATCTCTCCATTTAAGAATTCAATAACAGCATTTGTATTTGAAATTTTTAACAGAGAACAGTCAAGAATAACTCATCAAGCCACATGCTGGATCAGAGGCTGCCAGTCTTAACTAATGAGTCTTCACGATGAAATCGCCAATTTCGTCGATGACCTTATTGATTCTTGTATTTTGGATGGAATTTTGAACTTGCATCGAGCTATCAAACTCGGCTACTATCACCTTCTTATCCCCGATGGTGAAAACCCCAGCGCGCAGTCGGGCGCCCCCACTGCAGACTCGCTTAATAAGCTACCATCTTGTTGTCGTTGTGTAAAATGCAACTGCAAAGTTGCAGCTACGCGTTACGCATCCCACTTATCCAACTGTATGGGCCTGGGCCGGAACAGCTCTAGAAGAGCCAACAAGTGAGTCACAGCAAATTATTTTGAGTACTTTTCGTTGATTTTGAGCCTTGAATCAGCGGTATGCTTATCTAAAAGTGGCTACGTGACTTTGTCGTTTCAGACGGATCGCAGAACAACAACGTCTCGAAGATTTTGACGACGTCGACGAGCCCTACTACCTCGATTCTAGTCCTGCATCGACTAGCGGCATTAAGAATGAAGTTGCTGACAAACACAGTTCGAAAAGTTCCGCTGAATATAACCACCGAGGCCCTCAATACCACCAAAAGGCCTCCAAAAGTCGATCAATTGGAGCACATTCCAAATGCACCACCTCAACCACTTCGGGCAACGGTTCACGAGCTAGCGGCCGTAACGAGACCCACACACCTGAAAGAGACTTCCCCGTGACTGGCAATCAAGGTGGCGCCTCGTTCGACCGAACTAATGAAGCATCTACTTTTTATGAAGACGAAGAGGCCGACATATCTGAAACAACTGGCAGTGGCTCTTTTGCCGTCAATCGGCGTATCCACAGCTTTTCAAAACGGCAACACCGGGGACATCCTCATGCCTAGATGAATTATTCTCTATAAATTCTTACATGAAACAATCTCGGTTTTAACATCTTTCACGGACATTTACGAATACCACGCAACTATTGAGTTGACTACTTTTTTACATATCCTTAAGAGCTTCACCTACCAGCGAAAGGTCTGTTCTTGTCATATGCATTTCCCACTCGCTGACAATTGACGTTCTAAACCTGGCTATCGGGACGTGACAGGTTAGCAGCGGTCAAGGCCCCAGGAGCTTGTGACTGTCTTTTAGGGATAAGCACATTGTCAATTTGAACAGCTTAAGGCCTGGTGATGTAAGGCAACAGACGCGCGACTCTGGCTTAGTTGCCCCGTAACAACAAGAATTTTATGTGATCGAACCAGGAATCCCGGTTGCTTGGGTGAAACAGGTTATTAAAACTTTACTTGGTTGCTTGCCCAGTGGTAGCTGAACTTCGTGTTACAAGCTTCCACGCATTCAGATATTTTAATGAATTATTTTCGGAAACATTTTTTGTAAATACACCACCATATAAAGAGTTATTTAACTGGAGAACAGAGCAGAAAATCGTGGTAGAAATGGCTTCGCAAAGAAAATGTGTTCGCTTGCCTAGTTTAGGCTAACGCGGTAGGTGCCGTAAACAAAGTGGTCCATGCCTATCGCCATTGGCCAATTCGTTGAGTAATACAGCAGTACCGTTAGCTTGTACTTACTAGATTCAACAGGCCGTTTTATTCCTTTGACCGTAATTTAATTGAGAAAATAGAATGATACACCACAAGCAGCCCTTCGCTTACGGTAGAACGCAGGATTTTTCAACTCGCTTTAAGGAAAGGAATATGAGAACACAGTGACAAGACTATACTCGCAGGACAAATTTGCTCAGGGATAATCAGGCACTGAGTTCAGGAGGTGGAAATCCAAAAGGTGGGTTTGTAGTTTCTTTTTTTTACTTTTCCTCATCGTCACTCTCATCGGCTTCTTCATCCTCCTCCGAGTTACCGGCGTCTTCTTCATCGTCATCATCGTCACCGGAGACCTCTTTGTTGGCATCCTCGAGCTCCTCCATGTGGCGCCGAAGTTCCGACTCGTCAGTATCCGAAACTATCCGAGGCTAAAAGAGGAGAGGAGGGGACTTGGTTAGTAACTGTGGTATTCGTTTCTCTAGTAGTACAGCGAATTACATTTTAAGTGATAACTACTTCTAAATTAGGATAGGTTCTGCTGAAATGTATCCCAGCCGGTACTGCACACTTTTATCGTCAAACGGGTGAATAAACTTATGGAGAAATCTGTGAAAATTGTATTGGCTTAGAGAGTGAGAAAGTACTGGCTGCAACACTGATTCGAGTTCGCGTTTGGTCCCTGCGTCGCCAAGATAGTTAAGGACGGAAACTACACGTGGTCAGTTTCCCTTGCCTTTTCCAACAATCTTCCTCTGCCTACACTGCTTGCCACTGTGCAGCCGCTGGCGAGGCTCGAGAGTGAAATCCACGATAGAACGGAACGGG